TACTTATTGGACATTGCAGACCCCGGAAAAACATGTCAAACTCGCCGCATCAGAGAGCAGCCTTTGCAGATGCCAGGAAGAAGAAGAGGTACTGTGTTGTGCGGAGGTGCAAGATAAAATTTTAATCCTGGGAGAGGAAAAGTCTAGGTCTGTAAAAAGCTATCGGATCTGGTAAAAAGTTTTGAATTTAACGAAAAGCTCTAGATCTTCAATGATGGAGATATGACAATAGACCAATACTGGTCGTTGTAGGCCTGGTCTAAAGAAACTGACTCCTTTTAAATTTTAACCTTTAACCAACGAGACACTGTCCAACTTTTCACTTCAGAAAAACTCTATTTTAAGATTTGAAACTTATATGTATTGTTTTATAATGTTTAAATTTGTTGCCATTGGATGCAAAATTCATAGGTAATAAAAAAATGGAAAACGAATTTTGTGTGGTTCATCAACATCACATGACGGATATTTTAAACCAGCAACCAACAAAGGAGAAAGTTTTTCGTTTCACGATATTTTCTTTATAAACGAAAACATAATCTTTATCGTGCCAACGTTTCGATCTTTATTGAGATCATCTTCAGGGCCTGGGATTTACAAACATTGTTTATATATTACAATTACATTTTGGATGTGGAAAAGTGAAGTTATACAATGCAAAATATATTTTATATATTCAATCAAAGTGTCTACTCTCTCAAAGTGTTTGTCTTCTGTGTAAACTTGTACTTTGATTGAATATATAAAATATATTTTGCATTGTGCATAAATTCACTTTTCCACATCCAAAATGTAATTGTAATATGTAAACAATGTTTGTAAATCCCAGGCCCCGAAGATGATCTCAATAAAGATCGAAACGTTGGCACGATAAAGAAAATGTTTTTCTGAAACCTACATCACACCAGACTGCATCTCACGATTTCTAAATAAATATTGATTAACGGTCACTAATCACCACACAAATATGAAATACTTTTCTACTAGTATCTTTTCTACATATAAGTTTAAAAAAGTAAAAGCATTCCTAAAAATATTACAAGATTTTTTAAATTTTCGGCAAGCAAATCTTCAATCTGAGTAATATCTAGTTGAAACTGCCCGCAGTCTCAGATCAAGCCAAGCAAGCGCAACTGAAGTGTTATGAAGAATTGCATAGCCTAAGGCGTTTTGTTAGCTTTTGCTTTTTATCTTCTTGGCAATTTTGTTAAGGTTCATTTATATTTTGAAACAATGACAGAAGCTTTATCATTGTAATTACCACTATAAATTGTAACACCTAATTAATAAAGTATGTGACTTGGTCGTTTCCTGTTATTTTTAGTCTATCCCCGCCGAAATATAAAAGAAAGCTATTAACCTTTTTTAATCCCGATTTATTATCTGCCAAAAAAATTTTTTTTAATTTTGTAGTATGAGATTGTACCTATGTTTTCTCCACCAATTCGAAAAGGTGGAAATTTCCTGATGAACAGAAAGCTTCAAGAGAATAACATAACTTTTAGTTATCTATTAAATAAATAGATTTACGGAAATGGGATTTTTGAAGAACAAACAGCAATAAATATGCCGAAGATTAACTAGCATTTAGCTAAAAAATAATTAAATTAAAAAAAACATTAACAAGTAAAACTCGACAAAATTTGTATTTTTTACCAGGTACTTTACTATATGTATTATGGTGTACAGGTAGGTCAGCAGTATAAATGATATAAAGGATGGGACCAAAAATGTTCCCTTGTGAGACGACGGCTTGTACCTGTCTGATTTCTGAGAACTCATTATCTCATCTAATGAAACAGCGTTTGGGTCGATAGGATAAGTCAATAAAGAGTGGGTAGGAATCGTTTAAAATTATAAATAATGCCCTTGCGCGAGATCCTATCAGAACGCACTCTCGCAATACTACTCTTCATTCTCTAGAGCAAAGGAGATAGTGTCGATTACTCTGAAAACTTGTTGCATCGTGGAGGTATGGTATGGTGGAAAAGGATACTTGGAAGCGGGGTTTGTATTCCCCAGGCACTGCAGCCTTCTGGCTTATTGTACCTTCCTAGTTTCTTAGTTCAGTGCAATAGACTCAATCCTTCTTCTTAGAAGTATCAGGTCATTGACTTTTGCTGCTTCAATTTGATTCCCTAAGTCTTTTCAGTACGTTAGGTTAAACCTCCATTGAGCTGTTGCTTTGCATTCGAAGATGATATGAGTGGCTGTTTCCTCCTTTTCATTACATAATCTGCAAATGGGATCATCGCTGTATTTACCCATGTTGTGTAGGTGTTTTCTCAGATACCAGTGACCGGTTAGTAGACCTACCACTCCTCTCAGTTTGGCCCTCTCCAATTGCAGCAGTGTTTTTGCCAGTCTCGGCGAGGGTTGTTTCATCATAAGTTTACTATGTCTAGCACCGCTAGAGTTTATCCACTACTCCTTTTGTTTTGCTTGGATCCATTCTGCGATGGAGGATTCTATATTTGTTTTTGTTATCCCAAGAATAGGTTCGGGGCCTATGTATGGTCTTGCAGATCCTCCTCTGGCAAGACTGTCTACTTTCCCGTTACCCAAAATTCCCCTGTGCCCTGGCACCCAAGATATCATCAGGTTGTTGTGTGCATCGTGGAGGAGAAAAAGGCTGATGGGTCTGAAAGTGGATATGTGGCGAACTGAAATCGTTACACTGAATCCTACTGTTATCCCTAAAGCAACTATTTCTAAAGCTGTTATTAATAACTAACTATAATAATAATAATAATAAGTTACTGTTACATTTGCCCCAATTCTCAATATTTAATGATTGGTAATTACGAAAGTAATTTTTATTTTAAGATAGCAACATGGAAAAATATATAACGGCTGACTTACTGCGTTGGAAAAACCGAATCCAACGTGTGCAAAAAGAAAGTAAAGAACTATTCAAAAGCATTCCTGAATTGTGAAAAATTCCAAAAAGGGAGCAAACAATTTTCTTCTGCAGGTTAAACATTTTGTTTAAAATATATGCCGATTTAAAAAATCCACAGGTCGAATTAAAATTACTGTTGCCCTCGTACGTGTTAGTATGTCAAAAAGATACAAGTTTAAAAAAATGTATTAATTGGTTACCTTAATAAAGAAATTTATTCTTTGTTAAGTGTATAATAAGGTAATTTTAATGTAGCGGACAGAAAAGTGAGGAGGGGCCGAATATTGGTCCGAAAAAATGTGGTGGAATAGTTTACAAAATAAAAACTAAAGGTGTATATTAATAAACAAAAGGAACATAAGAAAAAAGATAAAATTATACTATAACAAAATTATATATAATAAAATTGTCTGTAGAGGCATATTTCGTGTAGTAAAACATATCTGTTCGTATCTGCAGTAATGTTTTAAGCTTAAATCTTCATAAACATGGATCAGATTTTGTCTCGTCACCAGGAAAACAGAACGGATTGACCTTTTTGCACTCTCGAAAGATGGTTTATATTTGTAAAATAATGATTACAATTTTTTTTAGCTAAGCCCACTCTTAGACCTTAATGGACGCACATTTTTCGTTTCTAATGAACTCTGCCGAACCGTTATGTTACATAAACTCCACTTTTCAATCAATTTCTTTAATATTCTAAGATATGAATCATTTCATTCATTTTCATGTTGTAAGAACATTGCAAACTATGAAATGTGGTGTACTACGTGAATTTCTTGCTGCTTCAACTATTTCTAGTGGAAGCTTGGGTTTTCTTGATATACACAATAAAAGTTTCCAAATTTCAAACATTTATTTCCCCAACATGCTTGGATAAAACGCAACGGCATTTACTTTATATTTAGGGATTCACTTCAAAAGTAAAGATGATGATGATGCTGAGTAACTGGGGTTTAGTATTCGTCAAGTTCTGCAGTCTATAGTTCCGAAGTCCATGAAGTACGAAACTTACTAGATCTAATCAAGTAATTTTGTGCTACTCCCTTGCCGGATATAAAATACTTTGAGCAGTGAAAATTTGATTTATTTTGTAGTAACTCATTTTATAAAAGATGAACCGGACTTTGTGAATAGTCAATGCTTTAAAAATTAACAGGTTTGAAAATTTACGGGAAATAATATTGTCTACCTCAAAAATACACATCAGTCCAAAATTTTCAACTATTATTCATCAATATTGTTGCTTGTGATTAATTATTTGTTTACATTTATTCCATTTATTGCTGACAGTAGTAAAATGAAAAATATTTTACTGTTTTCGTAAAGCTTAATGTTACAATGTTTTCCTAATGTTTTATATCTTTTTTTTAAATCCACATGTTTGACTGAGCCTACATTAAAAAATTGTTATAAATTCAATATAAATATCGTTTTGATTTTTAATTTTGATAGAATGTCATTACATTCAACATTTGGACCTTCAATTCAGACTCGTTTGGAAACTGTGACGAAATAGTATTGATCTACACATATAGTAATGATTCGAGGTATAGGGAATATAGATATTAGGTTCTGCGAACATCACGATATAAAGAATAATGCATGAAGTTTAGCAGGGTACAATAAATATGTTGTTTAGGGTATGTCCTCTTCTGTTGGGGGGGGGGGTCGATCGTTCTGGCTCCGGGACTGCCTGCCTTGTGGATATCAGGAAAAGGTGTTTTAAGGGTGAGTGGCAGGTGGTTCGGGGTGTGGTCGTCCATTCGGCGGTTTTCGGGCTTCCATCCAAGGGCGCAGAGGCAAAGCTGGGTTTATTACGGTCAATGCAAAAAAATCAATATAAATTATCCATAATTGCGCGTTTAAACCGGCGAACTTTGAAGTTCAATCTATGGGATCAAATGAGGAAAATAAAGTTCATGTTCGAACAGGTTTCATTTTTTCTTGCAATTGCATACTTTTGTTATGCTTGTATTTCACATTGTTCTGACAATTATTTATTTTAACCATTCCTTTTCGAATGGCATACCCAATTGATTAGCTACAGAAACGTTTTAATTCACAACTAAGAGGCTAGGAATTGTAAACACAATAAAAATAATAATTTATTACATCCATTATTATACAGAAATAAATACACGAACTAGATTTTTTGACAGCGAGCTCCTGCAGAGGATGATGCCGACTTTTAGGAAAAGATATCCGTCAAAAATAAATAAATAAAATAAATAACTAATAAATAAAAGGAAGAAAAGGGCTACGACAATCAGAAACAGCTCCCATATGACGAAAACGGTTTGATGGCATTTCAGGAGATTACGTCTTTGTTTGGTTTGCGATTGGTACTGCAGTAGTTGATCCTGAGCCATTCTGCGTCGAGCCTGGTTTCATCGGAGGCGGTGGTGACGGTGGTGACGGAACGGTCAAATTCAAGTACCCTCCACCAGCTTCGATCTAAAAAAAGGATGGTTTTATTAATAATGCGAGAAAATGAGTATGATCGTCCTTGGAGAGTGATTCTCAGAATTTCTTTTCCAGTACTGTAATCGAACCTTTTGAACACGGTGTTTTCACGGATTAAATTATGCTTAAGGACCAGCCGACCATGGATAGTCACATTCGGCCTATAATTCGAAATCCTTGGTTTTACCCTGGCCGTGGGATCTCCTGAGGACGGTTCTTCATTTATATAAATCCTTTCAGCCTTAGAAGGCGTCAAAAACAAAATCTGGGGAAAATAATATGCCGATTGTTGACAGCGTTTGACCGAGGCCAATGAGCGAAAACAAGCGTCTGGACTATTGGGACATTTCTTAGATTAAATACCACAAACCATCATATAATAAACTATTTAATCGATCAATCTTTATATCACTCAATATTTTACAAAGTAAATAAGCCTTTATCAAAATAACTAATCAAACTGCAAAGGTAGATAAAGAAAACGCGCATTTACTTTCCTAACATCTGCCGAATTTTGTAAATAAAAACTAAAGGAAAACAGCAAAATCCATTAAATGACGAAATAGTTGGCTGTCAGCCTGACAATGCTTTAAACACAAACCCATCAATGATGAAATGATTAGGCAAAACAGAATGGTTGGTATAAGAGGATTTTCATTTTTGTTCTTATATGAAATTGTTGAAATAGTAAATAAAGCCTCAAAAAATAAAACTATCCGTACTAATTTATTTATCGGGACACGTTTTAATGATAAATAAGAAAATAGTTGATACTGTACTTTGTTGATCAAGTTTTTTCTCCTCTATCGGAGAGATATCGCTATTTTTTGAATATTTTTTTTATGACTGTACTAAACAAAGTAGGTCAGAAAAAGTTGCATCACTTGAGCATTTATTGAACCCAAGTTGCCAAGAGTTTTGACACACAAAAATAGCGAGACAAGGTGGACCAGGATGATCAGAGACGACCGGACCTGTTCATCACCTCGTAAACATCAAGAAAATATATCACAAAGTTTAAACCCCTTTTTTTAGTTCTCATGTCATACAATTGAGTTGTGTGATCTTCTCAGGGTTTCGTCTTGTGTAATTTTATGCATTATATGATCAGCTTAATTTACACTCTAAAAAGATTCCAACACGAAAATCCACTAACGATTAAGTTTTTAAATTTTCAACTATTACGTCTATAAATAAAATACTGCAGACCTCAGGAAAACCATTATAGCTGGTTAAGTTAAAAACAAAAGAATGCAAACGTGCAATTGGTTTCTATTGTCCAATCTAGAACAATCTTGAATGCCCAGTAATAAACATAATAAAAATGTATGTTAATATCAGTAGTTTTGATAGTTTACTCTTATCGTCAGTTTATTTAGTTTCTTTTAGTTTGTCCTGATGAAAAGGTCAATCAGTTAAAACTTTATAACCGTGTTTCCAAAATAAATTCGGGTCGTTTCTGATCATGCATTTGATCAGTTGTTTCGGCGTTATCATGTATCAGTTGGTCTGCTTGTTTTTGTCAATTGTATCCTTTTACTGCAGACATCCTACACATTTGTCAGCCTATCAAGCTCAACATACATCTCAAATACTTTTAACTTATGCTATCTACTTTTATAAACATTTGAAAATGAGAAACTGGAATTTACTGAATCACAGACCAACCTCTCAAAGGACGACTAAAACATTTATTGTATAAACATTGCTGCTAAAAAATAAAAACCTTTTGGATTGTTTGATAATCCAGAAATTGTATTTTTTCAGTTTTGTGCAAATTTAAATTGTCTAATACAATTTACTTCGAGCTTATGTTAATGAATATAGCACGTGTATAATACATGAAGGAGACTTTTTTATTCAATGAATGTGAGAATTTCATTTAAAAATATAAAAAGAGGACTCACATGTTTGTCAACTTCGCAATTCCTTCCTGTAAATCCGTCAGGGCAGAGGCACCTGTAGTCGCCGTCTTCTTCGGCTACGCTGACACAAGTGGCTCCGTTCTCGCAGACTCCTACGTGCTCTTCGCAGTACTTCAGTTCTGCAACAGCGGGAAAAACCTTTTTGAAATAGGCACCAAGGAATGAGGAAAACCGTCCTTTCCCCTCCTGCGCGAACTGAGACGACGTCCTTTTCCTACCAAGGTCAATAATCTTCTCCCCCCAAGTGACGATTCGTCAGCGGATTTTTGCCTTAAGACGAACCGTCGTGGGAATCCGAAGCAATGAACTATGAGAAATTTTGTTTTCGGAAAGTCTAATAAGTAAAGACACAGCTTCAATTGATTAAAAGGTCATTAACGAGGTAATTTCCAGGAGGAAACAATTAAGTCGGTCAATAGTGCGATAATTAAACCTTCAAATATAATTGATGTTTATTTCCTCCTTTGATCAAAGTTTTTAATTTAAATTCTTTTGTTTTTCATAGATTTTCCAAAGCAAAACGGTTCTTCTAGCCCTAATCATGTGTAATTGAGCGCTATGCGTTCTGACTGTTTTGTTCTTAAGATTAAAATAGATTCATAGTATAACAATAATTGTGCTTGATTGTAGGATTTGCTTATGATTGGGATATTTTTCATGGGATCTGAAATGCAAAGGGAATAAAATGTAAAGAAAGAAGCTAGTGCAGTTCGGAAATATTTCCGTTTGTCTGTACCCTTAAAAACAATTTACTTTGCCATCTGTCACCCCTGACCTAACTTTAGAAACTGAAAAGAGCCAGTAGTTTTGTACACCCTCCAACTTCATCTAAAATATTGTCCGAAAATACTAAAGTTGCCGAACACACTGCGCTAAAAGTTTTAAAAAAACTGGTGGTTCAAGCAATTTATTTCTTTGATAGAAGACTATTATTCTAACTTTTCAGAGCCTTTGAACAATATTTCGTTATGGGAATCCGGCCTGATCCAACTTCATAAAAGGCCACAATTTTTCATTTCTGGCCGTTTCATATTGTACAAAGCTCCGATTAAAAACATTAACGATAAAAAGGTTTCTGATAGGATTAACGGTCTAAATTTTTCGAGTTTTGTTTGCTTTTTAAAATGAGATAGAACTGTTATTTTCAAAAAAAGTTTTTCGAAAAAAATCCACTGATGAAAGATTTGTGATGATAATATTCCTGCAGATATATCTGACGAGATGAATAAAACATGAAGTTTAGAAGGGTGTTAAAGATGTGGTTTAGGGTGTCGCGTTTTGTTCTGGCTCCAGAACTGCCTGGCCTTCTGGGTGTCATGACACGGAGTTGCATAAGTAATGGAGAATTGACCGTGTTTCGGTAAGTGGTCGTCCTCAGTGGATTTCGGGCTTCCAGCCAAAGGCCACAAAGGCAAAGCTATGGTTAATACGGCCAGTAAGAAAAAAATCAATGTAAATCTATAAATTATTTGGATCAAAACCAGCCCTGGTGTCCCGTTTGCGGAGAAAAGTAGCTCAGCGTCACATCTGGTCGAAGTACCGTGCCTTCTCAGGGAGCGAGTAGGCATGAGCCTGACAAAAAGATGGTACTCGGGCGAGCACTCGAAATTATTGAAGAATTTTATAAGTCCCGAAAAAAGGCCTTGTTTTCGTCCAGGCATCTGGTCGGTTTTATGCAGTTTTTCTCATGGCGTCGTTGAAATAGTACCACTGCAGTCAGAAAAGTGCTCTCTCCTCAGGCTGTGGACAAGTATCAATGGCTGATTCTCGACTCCCAGACTGTGAGAAACTATCAGCGCCTGCTGCTTGGAGCCTTTATACGAAAACTCGATAATATAGTCGATCCTTCAAGTGACTCGGACGCATTGCCCCGCCGCGGGTATATTACCTGTCGACGCCCGACGTCAAATTTCGTCACGGGGTCTCACGTGTGACGAGATATTTTTCGAACCGCTCTGAAGGCAGTTTCCTTGTTGATCCTGCCAGTAGTCACATGCTTATCTCAAAGATTAAGCCATGCAAATCTCAGCACAGACTATAATAAACTGAAACCGAATAATGCGAAAGAGAGACTTTGGATCGAAGGAAGAAGGACGTCACCCTGAAGGTGACCCTCTTTGCCGACGTTGTTAGACGACTGTAATCGAACGCGCGACGCGAGCTTATCAAACACTCGTGTTGTAGGTGGGTCTATTCTAAGTTAGTCTTTCGATCGTGACAGGTGACAAAGAGCTATCCCGGGCAAAAGAACCGCCTTTCGCTAGAGCGAAGGCAGAGACGAATGCCATTGGGATTCGTAGAATCGTGTCACGATCGCTGGACTTCGACTAAGTCTTCGAGCTCTCGTGGAGAAAAGATGTACAGCGAAAGAAAGACCGGACGACGCCAATGACGTATCCCATAGGGTGTGGGTCAGAGAATGTTTAAAAAAAATAAGGACAGATCGGTACTGAAGGCGGAGGATTCTTGGCCGAAGAAACAGGAAGATAATTCCAGTACCGTCACTCACTGCGCTGGGTCCGCCTCGATGGGGTACTGTATCTAATTAGTCGGTTAGTCGGACGTGGTGCCGGTGCCGAAAACCCGAAGGTTTACATGTCTTGACGAGACGTAAGATACGGCGATTCAAAAGGAACAGAGGTAATTCTGTACATTGACTATACAGGTGTATAGTATAATTTTTAATTTGGATGTGTATATTATTACTGACATAATTATTATTTTCGTAATTTAAAAAAAATAGGCAGATGTGTTGGCTTTATATGATTACCGGATGGTGGTTACAATTTTAATGTAGAATAGACGGGTGGTAGATCTATCTCATCCTCTCTGCTAAGCAAATTTCAAAAAAACATTATGGTTGAACCCATAAATATTAACATTTTGAGTAGATTTATATTTGTTATCCATATAAATCAATTATAGTTTCAATGTTTTGATGAAGTGGGTATTTCACTCGAAAGGTTGAGGTATAACTGAATTTGATAACTGAATTTTTTCCCTTCTTTTCAAAGTCGCCTTATTACTGACTTTTTGTACACAGGTACAACACATTTAACACTAAAAAACGCACATACACATTGATTATCAAGAGTTCACATACATTCTTTACACCCCAACGAAAATAGGCAGACCAAAACGATCATTAACGAACAAATAAAAAGTATAGTTTGGTCTTTCCGATCATTTTGTTCTTCCTACCCTAGCTTTGTTGAATCACTGATGATGGTAAAACGCGACAGACCAACCCAGCGAAGATAGGCAGACGAAAATGATCGGAAGAACCAAATTGCAGGTACACCGCCTACTACAGCAGGAAATCTCACTATATAAATTTTATTTTAGAATAAATTTTCATCCAATTTTTACTAAACACGTACTGTCCTTTTCCAGGATGTGGATAAAAACCATTTACATTATATATGGAAAAGTCCAAATCCTGTCGGGGTCCAGGGCTAACCTGCCCAGCGAGTTCCCATGCCCCGATCCACGATCAGCCCAGCGAGACCGAGCGCCCCTGACCAACCCCACAATGGCATATTGGATATAGACTATATAATTATTTTATAAGTTATAAAACCAGGTGATGAACTAGGAATTTGTTGTTGTTGTTGATGTGTGTATATTTGTTGTCTGTTGTGAGGATACTTTTTAAACATCTAATTTGTTTGCTGAAATAAATCTGTATAAGGCGTGCATTATTTCTTTGTTGGCTATCATCATAAGATGATATTCGTTCTAGTGGGTAATGCTAATTTGTTTTGTACTAATGTTATGAATAGAACATCTCTGTTTTGAGATGCCAAGGGGCATGATAAAAGGTCAGGATCAGCTGAGGTCTTTCTGCCACACTCACATGTTGGATTGACTCTGACCCCTATTTTGTGGAGATAGTATGGAAGACTGATATGATTTAGCCGCAGACGAGATATTGAGGCAAAGAGTTTTCTTGGGCCGCCTAATTTGGAAAACAATGGTTTAGCCGCTATTTTCGGTTGCATTATTGCATATACCTTCAATTTAGGTTTTATGCTGACGGCAGATTACTGGTTCATCAACCCGCAGACTAGACGGAGAAATATCACAATATCGGCCCTGATCTACGTTTATTGACACCATATTTGAAAAATAATTATACATAGTAACAAAAATTTATTCTATATATTATTTATTTTATTATAATCTACGAAAGATAAGATAAACGCATCCCAAAACTATAAAACTATTTTTCCCAAATATTAAGAAGAGCCATCCAACGTAGTAAAAACAAAATTACATTATAAAAATGATTAAAATAACAATCAAACACTAACTTTTATAATTAAAAATATATGTAGTATAAAGCAGCGAGCAATGATAAATAGCGAGAAAGACATTATCAATAAAGACTAGAAATTTGATGAGAAAATTATCAGAAAACCTCGATCTTCTATATTTCTTCAATATTTTATATTAGATAAACATTCGTTAGATTTTGAATATTCATAAAAAGAACTTAATACATGAACGCAGAAACTTGTAAATTATATTGATCGGTTAGTTGAAGTTAGTAATTAAAAATCTGACACAAATCAGAAAAGTTTTTTATTACTTTAAAGATTAGTCAATAGCTGTCCGAATAAATATTGACTGGGCAGAAACTCGAAAAAGAATGAGGGCAAATTTGCTAACATGCGTCGCTAACAGAAATCGCACAAAGAAGGAAAGTCGTAAAATATACTACATACCGGGAGATGTGAGAGGCCAAGGTGTCTTCGGCTTGAAAAACGAAAATGGATCTGTGACAACATTTATACCGTAAAAGTTCATCGAAAAAAAAACCTCCCAGATCTAATCTTGACTATTCAAATATTTAAACCGGATAGATCCGTTTAATATCATTAACAAATACTGACGTTTCATCAGAAAATTTTTGTGTTAGAGAGTTACTAAATTTGTTCTTACTCTTGCACACTTTAACACTACATAAATATTGAAAACAAAAGATATAATTTAATGATAAAAATAAAACAGAAATGTAATTAGGTAGCATTGAATAACAGATTTGTATCGTTAAATTGTTTTCTTTTCTTCGGCCTTGTGCCTGAAAAGCACGAATATTTTGGCCACGAATAGCATCACTGACGTTATAAATTGGATATAAACGAGATTTTTATTATCGTGGAAAACGAAATCGTATCAGAATTTTAACTGTATTCTGCGTGTAGTTTTACCAACGGTGATCCTTGAATTAGGAACGGCAGCGTTTCCACCTTGACACAGTTGTGGCCATTTCTCCCATGAAATTGAATTTAACCGGTTGCATACCCCTGGGCTGAGAGTTTTTGAATTTGTTTATTCATAATTTGGTCAAATAAACATTTAAGGCCCCTATGGGCGTTTCGCGGAAAAATAATTTGGACGTTTAGGACAATCAAGTTGAAAACGTTCTCGCTTTCTACAAACATTGAGAAGACATTTATTGAAACATTAAGCCAATAAATTGTTAGTTTTTCCTCAATTCCAAGGTATTTACTGCTGAATTGTTCAAAATAAACGTTCAGAAAATAATATCAGGTTTTTTCATAAAACATAGTAAATAATTGATAATTGGCAGTAATTTAGGAAGTGCGCACATTTATTATTGTATATTAATTAGATATTAATGCACATTGGTGTAACTCAAACAATAAAACTGCTAGAGCATAAACTTACATCTTACAACAAACTTACATTTGTTTATATTTTAAAAATTGACCACGTTATGACCCATCCGCCCTCTCTCTCTCACTCTCTCNTCTCTCTCTCTCTCTCTATTTTCGTAGCTCTTTATATACCTCTCTCACACAATCTCTCTGTCTATTATTGTTCTATCTCTCTCTCTCTCTCTCTCTCTCTCTCTCTCTCTCTCTCTCTCTCTCTTTATTTTCCTAGCTCTTTTTTTATGTCTCACACAGACTTTCTCTCTTTATTTTCCTAGCTCTTTATTTACCTCTCTCACACGATCTCTCTGTCTATTATTGCTCTCTCTCTCTCTCTTTCTCTCTCTCTCTTTATTTTCCTTGTTCTTTATTTCTCTCTCTCCTCGTCCTCTCTCTCTCTTTATTTTCGTTGCTCTTTATTTCTCTGTCACACACTCTCTCGCTTTTTCTCTATGTCTCTCTATTTTCCTTGCTCTTTATTTCTCTCTCACACACACTCTCTCTATTATTTCTCTCTTTCATCTATCTCTCTCTCTCGTTTTTCTTGCTCTTTATTGCTCTCTATTATTCCTCTCTCTCTCTCCCTTAATTTTCCTTGCTCTTTATTTCCATCTCACATTCTCTCTCTCTATTTTTCTGTTGATTTACCTTGCTCTTTACTTCTCTCTCACACACACTCTCTCTATTATTTCTCTCTATCCTCTCTCTCTTCTTCTCTATATTTTCCTTGCTCTTTATTTTCTCTATTTTCCTCTCTCTCCCTTTATTTTCCTTGCTCTTTATTTCCTTCTCACATTCTCTTCTCTCTCTCTCACTCTTTCTCACTCTCTCTCTCCTTCTCTCTCTCTTTTTCTGTTGATTTACCTTGCTCTTTATTTCTCTCTCACACACACTCTCTCTATTATTTCTCCCTATTCTCTCTCTCTTCTTCTCTATATTTTCTTGCTTTTTGTTTTCTCTATTATTCCTCTCTCTCCTTCTCTCTCCCTTTATTTTCCTTGCTCTTTATTTCCCTCTCACATACTCTTCTCTCTCTCTCTCTCTCTCTCTCTCTCTCTCTCTCTCTCTCTCTCCCTTTTCTGCTTTTCGGTTGATTTACCTTGCTCTTTATTTCTCTCTCCCACATACTCTCTCTATTATTTATCTCCCTCCCTCTCACTCGTTAATTGAAAGAAATCTGCGAGTATTATAAATAAAGCGTTTTATTTCAATTCGATTCAATTTTCTCTCTCTCTCTCCATCTCTCATTTTATTTTCTCTATCTCTCTATCTGCCTTTATCTCTTTTCTCTTTCCACTTTTATTTTCATTTCTCTTTCACAGCGAGTAAGAATTAAGGCGTTTAACAAACTCAATGATGCCTGTGATGGAAGGGAACATAAAGAAATACTGTTCTATCTCTATCATCATATATCTGCTTATCTGTTTTTCAATTATTATTATTAATAGAAGTCACGATTGATTGCGTATTGAAATCCTGCTTGTGATACTTGCATTTTTTTCTTCTCAATCAAAATGTTAGATTGTTATTTTGCATTAGAGTTTTGTAATCATGTTTAAAATTTCTCATTCATGAATAGCCTAGTGCTATGTCTAGCGTTAAATATACTTATACAGATAATTATTTCATTGTTGTGATTATAGTTTATGAAAATTGAATTCACAATAAAAGTTACGAAAATATGTGGATTACTGGGTACATAAACATTGTATAATGTACATATAAGTAATAATTTTCCTACAAATAAAGTCCAGTTGTTATATTATTTCTATAGGAAAGAATACACTCATGTGACAATGAGAATTGCAAAATTACCTGCTTATTTTTATATTCATTTCATAACCGTTATGTTGTCAGAATATATAAATCGGCTATTGCCGAATCGTCATTGTAACAGTTTTCATGCGCATAAAGGAAAAAATATTAAGACTATTATAAAGAGAAAGTGAACTAATTACAAATGCAAATCGATTGTCGCAATATCAATTAAATATTTACACAGTGTTAAATCAGTTTTCGATTAACATCAGAATAATTAATGAATAATAATATGTCCGACTGTGAATTTTTTCTTTCGTTTTAATCAGGTGATGCTTTTAACAATTTCGGTGACAGAGCTTCCCGAAAATAAAAAAGATAAAACTATTTCATGAACAAATAATAATATGTGACAATCCTATCAGTTGTTTTTAACCTCCTTAACGCTCAAGTTTCCAATCAATCAACGAGCCGAGAAGAAATACAAACCAACAAATATTACTTAACCAAAAAAAGCTTAATTAAAATTTTGTAACCGAAACTTTAGTAGCCATGAACTAAACTTGTAAATGAGAGCTGTAGTAGCATCAGTTTTTCATCTGAATTTTTATCGAATCTTGGTCGCACATTGGTGACTGTGGCTTTTTCGATATGAAAATATTGCTGAATCTCGAATACGTTTATTTGCCTTGAACTAGCTTATATGTACAAAAATACCATGGATATTCCTATCCTTACTTTTCTTCTCATTTTTACTCTCGCCTGGACTAGTGAGACAGAGAGAGAGAAAAAGAGAGGAAGGAGAGTGGCAGCGTGAAACAGATATGGAAGAGGGAGAGAGAGAGAGTTAGAGAAAGAAAGAGAGAGAGGTTGAGAGGGAGAGAGAAAGAGAGAAGAGAGAGAGGTGGGGTAAGAGAGAGTAGAATAGCAGAGAGACAGATATAGCTCGTCAATTTTTGGAAATACAACCGAATGTTGAACTTTATCCTGATTAAGTGTTCTATCCTTGTAACTCCTTGTTTACAACCTTAAATGTACATTACTATCGTCAGTTAATATATATTTAAATTTTTTATGCCTCTGCCTAACAGTTTTCTAAGCTTTATGGTACATTATTTTCTGATAATACAGATTCACCATTGAAAAACTTGCAATTCAGAGTAAAAAAAGAAAAACTAATAAATTATTTTGAGGTTTGTCTTGCGATCTAACCTTCAAAATACAGCTTTGAATTTGATACAAAAAGTGTGATAGAGAAAGAGAATGTGAGAGAATGACTGAGCGAGGGAGAGTGATAGGGAAAAAGGAGAAGAACAGTCTAACAAGTTGGTTTAAGTAAAGTCCCGTCAATCTTTGACTGTAAAATATTTCGAAATTAAGTGTTAAAAGCTGCACGCTTGACCCACTTGCTGATCGAAACCAATCTTAACCACTCAAACTAAAAATACCTTCTTATGCATTGTACGAGAATTTTCACGTTCAATGATAGGTCATAAATGATCGGATGAAATATTAAAGTAAATTGCATGGCTTGTCATTAGCCTCATAAACATGTATAACGTTAAAAGTATGTTTATTTATAATTTTGATTTTTTTCTAAATTATTGATAATAGGTAGGATTATTTATTGTGAAAGAAAAAATATATTAGACTGTGAGGGTTTAAATATTTTTTATTATTATTTTGTCTAGTAACGTTTCTGTTGATTATTGACCTTCAAGTTCGTATTGTATTTAAGAAATCGGTGTAAATTTTCAAAACAAGATATTTAATAAATGTACTAACATATTAAGACGAGATTAAAAGAATAACTTTGTTGAAAAGTAGGTCATCCTCGAAGGACGACTGTGCCTTTTTATATTCGAACATGGTGTAATGAGTCAATAAAGTCTAAATAAATGAAATAAATAAAACAATTGTTTTAAAACAGACGATACTGACCTTGATCGCAGAGCATTCCACCCCAACCGGGCCTACAGTTGCACTCCCAGGGTCTCTTGCAGTCTCCGTTAACACAACCAGGGTACGGGTAGCATTTGGCGCAGCCTTTGCCCCACCAGCCGACTTTACATCTGGCAGCAACAGAAGAAAAAAAAAGTGGTCACATTCACAAGGTTTTCGAAAGTAGCCACTCTTCGGAAGCGATCGAGAACGGCCTTGCTGACACGAGCGTTACCGGTGAAATTCGTGCGCTCAAGAAGTGAACGACCGGTACGGTACCCCTGTCCCCCACCTTTTACATTAATTGAAAGGTCGGGTTATTTCTTAAGATCAAATAATTGTATAAAATAGAAAAACATGTTTTCTAAACGAATATTGTGCAAGACAATCTAACATTTCATGGAAAAATCTATTAAAAACAGATAAATGCTGAAAGATATGGACTCATCTAAAATCCATTCAAACCTAGATTAAAAATAGACAAAAAACATGCTTTGTTCTAAAATAATACTTCATTAATGCAAAATAACGATTATGAAATTATAACCATTTTATTTCTCACGTTCAGCCTCCACTCTAAACGAAAACAAAAATCACTTGGCCTTAATTTTCAGCAAATCTACAATTCTTTTTACCAGCATCGGTTTATTTTTAGACTGTATTGTTTACTTCTAATAAGATTTAAACACTTATTAAAGTTCTTAACCATTTCACAGCGTTTTGTTTAAATTATGTAACAATTGGTAGCCTTTTTATTCCCCAAATGTTCATTTTTATTGAAAGTTTCAATTGTTTTGTTTTTGTTGTTAGGTTTTATTTAAGTGTTTTAACTGCTGCTTCTCACAGTCTGCGGTGTTTAAGGTCGTAATTTAAGTCCTTTCAATCACCCCTAATCAATATGTCGAAAAGGGTGTTTAGCAACGCAACACTCTTAGTCCTATTCTTTATTCACTATGCACTTGTCGTGACTTGTAGTAGCTATCGGGTGTCATCAGGTCAAGGCTCCCTCTCGACAATCGGACAGAGGTCCTCTCCTTTAGGCTTGAACCTGCGTTTTGGAACTTCGATCAATTAATGGCAAACCTGTCTCATTCTGAAATTTTCTTTTGGTTTAATTTCTAATTAGCGGTGAGCCTTTTTTATTTTGATTTACATAAAATTGTTTTTTAATGTGCCAGACAGTGTTGGAAAGATCTATTTAAATTTGTTGCCTCTTTCAACTTTTTTGCCCATTCGGTTTTGGCCTTGGTTAATATGAAGCTTTTGCCCTTTTAGCTAAGCTTTCTGTTGAGCCCACGCCTCCAGTTTATTTGGAGTTGGTGGACTCTGAGAAAGCTACATTATCATAATCCTGTGTACTGCTCAAGTAGGTAGAAGATACCGCCATCATTTCAGCAACTGAAAGCCCAGTAGCTCAAAAACCTCCAGGATCATCTCTTCTGTTTTGAAGAATGTTTTAAGAAATTAAAGGATCGGAGTGATTACAGGATAAAAACATATTCCAGGCTATAACCTTCAACCTCCGACCTATCACCTCTCCTCAGATCTACTACTGCTCTGATCCTCTCCCAATGTCATCGATTATTAATTTACATCGACTAAAAACTTACGTAGAACCCCCACACTAGACCCAAAAGAATAGAACTGAACTTGTCAATAGATAAACCTTTACTTCAAAACAAACGCTTCCAACCCTCCAAAGAATTCAGTCCCTGCAGTCCTAAACCAATCGAACCATTGCCCAAGCTCTATTTCCTATCCAACACAAACATTCACATCCCATTTGTCCTGTGAGGAATGTAACACTAAGGAATCGATACAGACGCCTCCATAAAATCCTCAACCGTCATCTCAACCCTCTATTCAACAGCTTTCGTCCCGAATCCTTCTCGACAATCTTCCAAGATGCTGCAGCTACAGCCTCGTGATTTTCTCCCTAGTAGAAAGTGAATAGTGTGAAAATTGTGTGTGTAACAAATATTTATTCACTTTTGTAATATAAAATTCAATCAAGAGTTCTATAACTGTTGTAACAAAAAAGTCCCATCGTGATTGCTTTATGTCCAAAAACCCGAATAGTTTCGTAAGGGTCAGAACAAATTTCAATACTTTTGTTCACTTATAATCAATGTTCTAAGAGAAACACTGGGGTCCAATAACCAGTATTGCTAACGTGGCAAATATGGGAAGGTATGTATAAAATACCACTGTGGTATTGATATAAAATATGACGTATTATTGAAATCCGGGCATTACTTATCAGTGGAAAGTATAATTTAAAATAATGGATTTGATTACACTTAAACGTTTCGATTTTTTAGAAAATTCAAAACTTTAAGTGTCAGCTCTCAGACCCTAAAATGGATTCTCTTTACTACACAATACTTATACAGAAAAAATTTTGTTTGATAGCACACAATGATATGTGATACTATATAAAATAATTGATTATAAATTATAATTGCTGTTAATGTTTCTATTTAAATTCTGAATGAGAGGCCGTTTAGGCCATATCATCCTCCAGGAGAAAGTAGCGTAGAGGAATTGGCAGCCGTTATAATTTCATCCTTGCGAAAATTATATACCATCTAACAAAATTAGTGTTATTACGCCCTATTTATTCAACCGTTCCACGGACTGTTGACGTGTTTATTTGATTTTTAGTTTTGTCTCACCTGCATTCGCCTGGTTTCCTGCAGTATCCTCTCTCCTTATGACAGTGGCTCGCACAAACAGCTGAAAAACGTTAGAATTTGTGAATGTTAGGCCATTTATTAATGAAAATATTAAAGATTGTAGTAGTTTGTTTGTTGCTGTATTAGCATGAGCAATTTTTTATTTCACGCTTATCACACATGCCCACTTACCGAGTAAAATATTTCAAAAACCGTTTATACCCTCTGTTAATCACGGCTCCATTCATTATGCTCACGGCATTCTATTCACATTTTTATTTATTTTTAGATTTAAAAATTCAAAGGATTTAAAACATCCAATGTTTTAACTTCCAAATGACATTATAATTTATTTCAAGAAACTTTACCTAATAGGCTTTAAATATCTCCAGAACGTCAACATCACCCTTAGAATCCTGTTTAGGCCAATGTCATAGCAATTGCCAAAAATCTATACGACCCTCGATGATTATATTGAAAGAGTTATAACTTCAGTTTCAACAGAAATTTTAAATGTTGTGGCTCAGTTTGATGCTGGTGAACTTATTGCACAAAGAGTCTCGCAGAAACGATGAATTGACAGAAAGAGCAGCTCATTTTGATGTTATGTTAGATGACATAGCATGTACACATATAACCTTTGGAAAAACATTCACAGATGCTGTGGAGCTGAAACAGGTGGACCAGCAAGAAGCAGAAAGAGGTCCTTGTAGAAAGGACAACAAACTCAAGTTCGAGGATTCCCCAGGCAGCTCTTCTGACATGTCTTTCGAGGATGCTGGTGAAGACTTGATCGAGCTTAGAAAAATTGATATATCAGCTATTGAGGCCAAGACAAATCACATATCTACCCGTCTATTTCTAAATCTTCCAACCCAGTAATCTAACGTTGTGGTGAGAGGGCTGAATTCAAAAGCCACCTAAACTAATTTTACAGTAATTTTCTCAGCTTCTTTATTTCGTTTATTATTTTGTTATCAAAACTATGTTTAAAACACATTTTTTTAAGATTTCTTCGTTGCATTCATCACTAACTTTTAATAAAGTTTTAATAATAAAGTAATTACCATCAGCAGTCAGTGTTATAATTTTACAAAACATTACAGGAATTTTAAATAAACGGCGGAAAAATGTTCTTCTAGTTGTTACTTTCATTAACAAATTTCTGCATTCAATTTATTTACTCGACAATGACAATGTTTACAAGGAGATCCTGCGAATTCCGAAATCAAATTAAATTTAACCTGGGTAAATAATTTTTCTCAACAATGTAGTTTTATCAACTGATTGCAACCTGGAAGTACTGAAAGGAATACAAAATAACAGTCAGAATTTGACGGAAACTTTTGAATTTGTTTAAGGATAAATTCGTTAAACACGAATATCTTATTTATTTTGTATCATCCCCCAAGCGGTATCAAAAACTCCCCAGGTCCACGGTTTCATAAAATTAAGAAACATTAATATTTTACAAGATGTACCTGATTAATTTTTCATTGATAATCGCAATTTTATATACACTGCTTTACAACAAAATAGCGCACTTTGATTTTTTTTTTTTTTTTTAAAGTAAAAATCCCTCTCAAAAACAAATAATTAATTTTTTTAAATCGATATGTGTGTCAGTGTATGAGCACAAAATATTATAAAACAAACTTAAAAATCTTTAGCACTCTAACCTTCTCGGCATGCTCATAATTAACCCTGTAACCACTTGTTGAGGAATTTCATTCCAAATTGTAACTAACGTAACACAGCTCAGCTTTGTATTAGGGTTATTTCTTCCTTTTACCCAGTATCAGAGCCCGAAAATACTCAATGGGGTTCAAATCAAGGATACGGGGCTGGCCTTTTTAGACTGTAAATACTGTATTGACATCTCGGAGGTATTGCATGCCTGGTGGCGAAGTTGGTCTTGCATAAACAAAAATTGCACGCCAATTACGAGCAAATGGCACCACATATGCCTTAAGAATTTCTGCATTAAGCGACGGCCTATTAATGTGTAACTCCGGTTTTGCCTCCAAAAGGAATTCTAACCCACACCATAACTGAACCACCTCCGAACGGCCCTATTCCGGCAATGTTCCATTGGCTGTAGTTGTAGCTGCTCGATAAACTCGAAGGCCTTCCGCACCCGACCTGAGTAGATCTATTGTACTCCCCGGGTTTTACTTGTACTCACTGGACAGCTTCAAGTTGTTAATCAACCTCCACAGCCTTGCCAGCGTCTCCTTAGTGTAGTAGTACTTGCTTGTGGTTTTTCTGCCCTAGTTGTCAGAACCTGCACCATATACCTTCACAGAAACATAAAAGTGTTCTGCAGTCTCCTCTCCTTCCTGGCAGTGTTTTTTCTGTCTGTATTCCTATCCGGTCCATGTGCTTTCTTAAGTGGCAGTGCCCAGTCGGGAGTCCAACCAGAATCCAGGTTCGGTAGCGGTTGCCTTCCAATAATTCCTTTGTATGTATTGCGGATGGCACGTCCATGAATCTCTTCGCGTATCTGATGCCTGTGGTATTGTCCCACCAGGTTTTGGACTCATTAAGGATCCATTTTAAGATGTATTCTCTTTTGTGACAGGATGCTAAACCACAGTAGGGTTCAGGACCTAGAGAGTCCATGTTGGCTCGTTCTTTCATCAACATGTCAACCTTTTCGTTGCCTCTATGTTCCGAATGCCAAGGGACGAATGCCATGGTCTGGTCATTAGTGTGGCTGACTTCCGTCAGGGCCTCAATGCAGTTCCAAGCACTATTTACCTTACCTCGCATGAGGCTAGGGCCTTTAGTGCTGCCTAACTGTCAGAGTAGTTGGCTATCTTCCGGGAATGTACTCCTAGCCTTTTTTCCCTGGCACAGTGTTCAACCGCTATGAATTCTAATTGGAAAACTGTAGCATATTTACTTAGGCTTACCCTCAGTTCGGTCTTTGAATTCATCCCGAAAACTCCAGCCCTCGTGGCTTGTCGGAGAGAAAACTGGTACTGTCTGAAAAAACATTCCTTCTAAGTTTCTTCATGTCGGTGTCCCTTGCAAACTATAAGCGGTCCCGACGATGGTATCTAGTAAGCGCTGGATCCATTGCTGTCCTTCTGGATGTAGGCTCATTTTCGCAAGTCTCCTTCTTACCGTTTCAGCGCTAACGGATATCCCGCACAATTCGGAGTTTTTGAGACGTTTCAAATGCAGAGGAAAAGCGAGGTCTGAGTGTGAAATCTGATTAGCCGGTCATCAGCTGGTACCCTGGCTCTTGGGCCCCGAACCTGGTCTCCGAGCACACCTTGCATTGCCTGGTACCACTGAATGCCCGACAATCATCATTTTAGGCAAATCTAAACCTCTTGCAACCTAACGCTGATTTCTTCCATCCTCAACGAGTGCAACTGCTTGGCCTTGCTCACTGGTTATATTCATTTTCGTAATAGTTTCTTTGTGGCAGCACAATAGTGAACAAAGACATTGTTATAGGATTTAAATTAGATTTAAAGAATGGCCTTGTTGATGATTTACATTGTGGAAATTTGAAATCAAATTAGGAATTAAGAGGTTTTGCCTAACAATCAGCGACAAAAACAAATACTTTCCGTCTAATTATAATTATTAAATTCTTTTTAAAGTAGAAAAAAATATGGCCAAAACATTGTCAGTTTAAAAAAGAATTGAAATTTCAAAGTGCGCCACTTTTTTGTGGAGTAGTGTATATTTAAATTTCCTTCGTGATTATAGTTTAGTTATTATAGTTACACTAATGTTGTAAACATAGAATGAGATTTTTTAAAAATATATTATTATATGTTTGTTTGCCATTAAATTTAAATCACAAATACTTGTTAATAGTTGGTACGTTTAAATAAATTAAGGCAAATTTCAAATAGGCAGAGGTTGTGTAATTATTAGCTAGGAAAATAGCCTTTGGGGCCTAGCGACTTTATAAATGTTCCAAGGTTTGGTCAAATAAAAATAGTTGGGCTAGCGGATAACATACAAAATATATGCGACAGCATTTCTAATTATTTAAAACATGGATTATTATTATTTTTTTTTTTTTACAAAGAAGCTACAATGGAACCAATATTCCAACCACAATCCAAAGTTTGTTGTAGTTAAAGCTCTCAGTTTTGGAAAACAGATCGCCCCTGGAATACCTTATAAGGAGGGCAAAGAGAAAAATAAGATGAGAATACTTACGTGTCTGGCAAAGTATTCCAGTCCAGCCCTCCTGACACTTGCATTCAAGGGGTTTCGTACAATAACCGTGTTGACAACCTGGCAGGACCTGACACTCTTTACACGTCTCTCCCGACCATCCTAGTCGGCACCTGGACAAGTTTCAAAACTTCTTCAATACGCACAAACATAAATTGTTTATCAAGAAGCCTTATCAGCCTTATCACAATCCGGCATCACTTTCAAATAAGCACTAAAAGGAAAAGTTTTAAATCATAAATGAGTAGTAACGAAAGCTCACGCTCTGATTAACACATAGTTTTCAACTCAGGAAGGAAATATCGCTTTTGAAACCACGGATGAAAAAAATTTCCAAGGACATTTCCATTTCCTTTATCTTGCATGAGACTCAACGCAATTTTCACACCCTCGTGATTACCCGGTCGCAGAAAATTAACTAAATGTTCTTAAGTTACGTACCTGCACTCTCCTGGATACTCGCAATAGCCTCGTGTCGAGTGACAGTCTAATCGGCAAATGGCTAAAATCAAAATGACAAAAATTTTAAAATGTTCACTAACTAAAAATAAATAACCGAAACTATTCTATGTGAACAAAAATAACATTAAAACTATAAATATTTACAAGCCAGCTGGCAAGAAGTTTTGAAATTATCGAGTTCTTCAAACTAAAAATCTTTCCAAATTCTTACATCATCGTTGTAAAAATTACAGCAGAGGGAAGATTCTATTGAAAATGTTATTTTTTACCATAGATTGAACCAGTAAAGAAATAAACTTTTTATCCGCACTTATAAATTATTCAATACGTTTTGAACCTTTTTTAAATATTGATCGTCTTTTTCTTACGTTCAGAGCAAAATAGGCCGTCCCAGCCTTCGTGGCAGATGCATTCGAAGCTGTTGTTGCAGTAACCGTGCTGGCAGCCGGGCAGGGCTATACACTTGTTGCAATGCTCGCCATAAAAACCTGAAAAATAAAATAACATGATCTTTTGTCCTCTACTCTTAAATGGCAATGTTATTTATTGTGCAATGTATGCACTATTCAACTCTTCTCAGGTTGAGGACAGTGAAAGCTTGAAGCGCAAATAGGCCAAATTCGACTTGCCAAGTTTGCACCTGCATTCCCCTGGCCTTTTACAGTACCCCTGAAGGGGATCGCAGCCTTTGCGGCATATAGGTACGTCGCAGAGGTCACCGGTCCAGCCGTTGAGACACTTCACTTCCCCGTTGTCGTCGCACCTGTAATGACTGTGCTCGTTCTGGCTTGTCGGTACTTCACATGCCTGCCAACAAACACCACAAAAGTAAAAATATTTTAAATATACATCTAGTAGCACATAAATTAATACTATTCTTAATTATTTAACAAAAGAACAAATCTAGAAAATTTACATGAACTCTAGTAAGCTAGCTGTTCTTTAAAGCTAGAAGACATGAAGTGGCAAAACTGATAATTACCGATCTAACTCCTTGCCACTTCGACACAGGCCATATGGCCATACAATTAAAACTAATAGAGAAATATCAGAAGGATGTAATACTGATGCATTACACATTCCTAGGTATAACTTCGGAAAGAAATACCAAATTATAGTACCCAAAAAAAGCATCATGAGATAAAGGACTAAAGATCTCTGTCTCTATTGGGACGGAGAGCTCAACTACACTGTCACGCTATTTCAGGCTAAAGCTGCGCTCAAGCTCTTCGAAAATAGAAATTCTGGGATTTAAGGTTATCAATTTTAATAGGTAAACTGCGTTCGAAGTCCGAGTCTTATCTGAGGACAAATCATGAAGAGTGCTTGATTGCACTGGGAGAAGTCGGAATGGAGAAAAATTGGTTTACTGTCTGAACACAATGACATATAGGACAGTTCTGTAGTATATAAAGATTAAGATATATAATCATGGAAATGGGCACTCTTTTTGAGCTTTTATATCCCGAGCTCAGTATTATAGTAAACAGGTGAATCTCCATTTATCAAGGAGTTTGATTATTAGGCACAGCTTTAATGATAGTATTTTTTCTACGGTTACTGGTACGTAAGTAAGAAGTGAGTGGTTTTAGTGACCGTTAGCCAATGATTATTTGGAGATCGTGAGGTGTGATGTACGTTTTGCCACTCTCAACACGACACACAAGAATTACACATCTACACTGAAAACAAACACTTTGAGCCCTGAAGATGATCTTAATAAAGATTGGCATGGTAAAGAAAATGTTTTTCTAAAACCTACGTCACACCAGACCGCACCTCACGATCTCCAAATAATAATAAGTAAGTAAGAAGTATGGAACGACAGGGTGTTATTAGATGGGTTAGAGTATCTTCTGTCTCTTAGCCCTGAATCTGTTCATATTATTTATATGCCATTTTGCTCTAATGTCGATTCAATCCGCAGTACCCCATCAAGAATTCGGATACCCCGTTAGGATTCGGAGTCTCTTTCTGCTTCCTTTGATGCTTTCTGTAATTTCTTTCTTTTTAATATCGCATGGATTTGGATTGTTTAGTTCTAGCAAGTTATTCACATTGTTTTCTCCCGTTTGCAGTTAATAGTACAGGCAACTATCCCACAAGTGGAATCCGGACCTATCAGTGGTGCAGCAGCCTCTTTTCCTTGCAAATGACGCTATTCGTTCCCGTTCCCCGAAACCAGTAAATCTTGCTTCTGTTTTGCGCACCTAACATGTTTAATTTGGTTTTGCAAGTGAACATCATTTTCTAGCTGAAGATATTCGACTACCTGTCTATTTGAATTGATATCCTGTCTTTGTTCAAATTAAATTGAGTACATACCTTTGAGTATTTATTTGTTGGGATAAACCTGTGTACCTTTTTGTGTCCTGGATTGGTAGACCAGCAGATTTTACCTTTCTTGACAAGAGGAAGTTTCTCTCTTTTCCCACAGCTTTTTGATGCTTAGGATTCTGGACGTTTTTATTGGATTTAAATTTTTGTTCTTGTCGTTCATAGAAGCCAAGAGTATATGTTATTTCTCATTCCATTTAAGTTTCGATCTCTCTTGAGATTCTTCTTTATTGATGTTAAACAAGTTTTCTTTTATGACCATATCATTAACCCAATATTTTCCCCACACCAGCTGTGAGTCATGTCATCATAGAAACAAGAAATATATACTATTCAGACACAGCAGCATCAGTAGGACCAGATCTATAATGTAAAATTACAAACTGACATAAAAAAGGAGCAATTGGTTAATGAACCAAGTTGAAATCTCATTCTTGGTAAGAGCCCTCAGAACAAAAAGCCCAAAGCAAGATACGTACGAGGAGGAGCACATTTTATGGACGTAGTGGAAAATGCTCTTTAGACTTCTCACACAAACCTAACCTTACCTATCTACTTAAGCACCTTATTATATGATAAATATTGTTTTAAATCTGCAAGGTGAGGACCTTACCTTGGTCCCTAGTGAACACTATAGCTTGTTACTCTAGCAGGCCATGCTGGGTTGGACCAAACGTGAGCATGGCGGAGAGTAAGTAGTATAAATAGGCTTTGGGGCCATACAACTTCTAGTTTTCATCAATATTGTTTACAATCTTGTATCATAGGCCTATTGTTTTGTAAGAGAGTAAACATCACTCGCCCTTAATCAACGGTTATACGACCCGTGCTCTTTGTCCGCCAGAAGTAATTAGCCTTGTTCTGTCATAGTGGAAGAATGTACGTTTTATTCCTCTCGTGGAAAGTAAGTAAGTAGGACAACACATTATAAAATACAAGCTGGACTGACTGACTGAATATAAACTGCTTATTGGATGTAGATATTTCGTTATAAGAAAACCGAAGACAATAAAAAAATTCACAAAAGTAAACTAGGCAAATGTGCATATTACCAACTACCGCAACGAAAGTACAATAGCACTGGGACTTTTACATTCCAGAGAATGGCACATGAAAGAACGATAATTTTTGGATAATGGTAAAATAACAAAATAATGGAACAATAAAAAACCAAAGAGCCACATTTCTAAGAAAATAAAGTAATATCTCTCACATTTAGGTAATGTAACCGATGACAGTCATAATCCTTACCATTGTCCAATATATATATATCGAAACACCTGTTCAAACAATAAGAAGGCTAAGACAGATAATATTGGCTTTGCTAAGAAAAAAAAACATAGTACCACCATTTTTGAAAGGCAATAATAAAGTCTAAAATTTTGTGAAGTTCGATTAAGGAAGTCTCAAATTCCTAAAAGAGAGTGTTTTTCATGGTATGGCCATCAAGTGAGGTCAATTTACAAGCCGCAATGAAGTAGGTGTCTAAGTTGCCAGAGAGCTCGGAATTGGAAAACATATAACAGAACAAACACTATAACAGTATTTTATGTGATTGGGAATGTTCCAGCCCAAATACGATAAGTAGGTGATGAACCGATTAAGAGTCAACATCTAAATGAGAGGTTCAATCGTTCGAAGAAACTTAAAATTTGAATAATAGAAAGGAGCGACAGCCTGGAGAAAGCTAGTGTTGTGTATCAATATTTTCAGGTCATCCGTGTGGGAGCATTTAGGATGATTCACGATCCTGTTTCGACTAAGACAACCAAGTCCCAAAATAAGACGGTGGGCCTATTTTTCCACTTAGGTCAAGGACGTCATGGATAATCCTACTGTATTAAAAAGAAAAGTTAATTTAATGAACATCATGAACGTTAAGTATTGAAAAAAATCAAACTTTTAAACTGTATCCTCTAGTATTTTCAGAATTTCTGCTTCTATATTCGCTGTATCTCTAATAAAATAAGTAAATATATAAAATGAATGGGAAAAATAAACAGAACGACAAAAATATACACTTGCATATATCCTACAATAAAAATTTTTTAAAGATATTATTCCTAAGATAACACGAATCATCTTGAATTGATAAAAACATCATTTAATTATAATTTAATTCATCTAACCGACCAAATTATTTATTTCATTTAATTATACTTTTTATGTAGCCGAAGGACGTGTGTTCGAATCCCGCTCGTGACTTTTTCATCTCAGCTAAGCCTTACATAAAAAGTATTATAATTTAATATATAACGAAAATCCATTAATAACATTCTTGTGTGTAGACATAATTTTTATATGATAGAATTTTTTCACTTTTCCTTACGAACAATTTTGCTAAATTTGGTTTATTGAAGATAAATTAATCGTATATTTGACAATGTTTTTTAATGAATATTTTTTAAACCAGATCGTTAACATCAGATTGTACAAAAATCTTCATGAATATGGACGACGGATCATGCGCCAAGTATGACCAAGAAAAAGCCGATAGATTTGCTCAACATCTCCCGTCACTCCTCCATTCAAACAAGTTACAAAAATTAAATTACTCCAACCTCCTCCTGATTTGGCTTCTGTCCCATCATTCCGCAGTCCAGAAAGTGTTTCGCGCTGTAGACCTCGAATGCAAAGAATATTGTATGGGAGCCTTTCTTGATGTGGCACAATTGTTTGTCCGCATGTTGTACAAAGGTCTTCTGTACGAATTAAAGCGTGTCCTACCAAATTCCTTCTACTTAATCCACTGTTCTTATCTAACAGAGCACTTTCGAGTCCGACAAGGATCAGATTACTCCGAATACTGCTCTCTGGCCGCGGGGCACTGTGCTCGTACCAATCCTCCATTATACTGTAGACGTTCCCACTAAACTTACCACCCTCCTTGCATCATTTGGCGATGACACAACTGTACTATCCTCTAACCCCGATCCTGTGGTTGCTTCGGAAGATCTGCCCGGATGGGATATGTCACGTGTACAGCAGATTGGAGTAGACAATGGAAAATGAAGATAAGTGAATGAAGAGGGTCTATGTCAGATTGAAACTCCGAAGTAAATACTACAACAACGTTCTTATCCCCATATCCCCAAATACTTCGAACACTACCTTGGGTTCCACTTAGGTTCATGCTTAACGTGGACTCAGCATACACGACTAAAAGACATGACCTCATGCTACGGTTTACTCTACAAACTTATCCAAGCTTAGCAATCCAAGCTATCCACGAAAAAGAAACTTACAATTTATAAAACGCTTACTACAACCGATTTGGACATAGAACTGTGGGGTCTCGCTAAACTTCCAATATCCAACATCTCCAATCCTTACAATCTAAAGTCCTCACATCGATTATGAAAGCCCCGTATTATATCTCCAATACTACCCTCCACAACGACCTTAAAATCCCATTTATCCAAGACATACTTTTTCAAAATTTTACCAAGTTCCACAATAATCTCTCCCAT